GTGAAAGGCTGCAGAAGAAGAGGATGGGGAAGCCGTCATCCGGATGATGCTCATGATGTGTGCTCGGGGTAGGGCCATTTCTCGCGCGCACTGTGAATTGGAACAGATATATATATTACCAGGGTAAGGCTGCAGACTCGGGAGGGTAAGCTGTCACCCGGATGGTGCTGATGATGCATGCTCGTGGGTAGGGCCATTCATCGCTCACTCTTGTGAATTGGGAGAGAATAAGATTGCAAGCGAGAGGCTGCCTATCAATAGGGCGGGAAAGGCGTCAGTCGACTGATGCTGATGATGCGTGATGCATGGTTGGGGCTATTCTGTGCGCACTCTCGTGATTTGGGAAGAAATTCGGTTGCAAGTGAAAGAGGAGGGAAGAGGACGGGGAAGCCGTGACCCGGATGATGCTCATGATGCTTGCTTCTGGGTGGGGCTATTCATCGCGCACTCTTGTGAATTGGGAAAGTATTAGATCGCAAGCGAAAGGCTGTAGATTAATCGGGCGGGTAAGCCGTCATTGAGATGATGCTGATGATGCGTGCTGCAGGGGGCTATTCTGTGGGCACTCCCGTGGTTTGGGAAGAAATTCGGTCACAAGTGAAAGGCTGCAGATTAATCGGGCGGATAAGCTGTCGCCGGATGATGCTGATGATGCGTGCTGCATGGTTGGGGCCATCCAGCATCTTCTTGTCGGAACTGGACGGTTGATAGCAAGCGACGGAAGAATGGGACAGAGAAGGCGTCACGCAGCTTGGGCTCATGATTTGTGCTTCAAGGGTGAGGCGATTGTAGTGATTGGGAAGATTGCACGACAAAAGCTCGGAAGACTCGGAGGGTTCTGCTGCCAACCAATCAAACACTGTTACATAGACAGACACTGTTACATGTATGTTTCATGTATACACATGCGGTTCGGAGTATGTATGCATGTATGTATGCATGCAACTGTATGTAAGTCGGCCCCTGTCTCGGTCGGTTCTGTTCTGTTTGTCTTGTGAAATTATGGGGGGGCTCGGGGTATCGGCGGGGGCATACGCCTGCGTCCGAGTCCGAGTGGGTACCGTAGCCTCGAGATGCAAGCCAGTGCAAAAGCCGCGATAGGGACTGCAAAGCTCCCGACGGCATGGAAAACCGAGGACATGTGGTCCCTCGGAGTGTGATGGCCCCAAAAAAAGGGCCGTCCCTGAGAGAGCCCAAGTCGGCTCTGGAGCTGCCCTGAGGTTGGTCTACGTGATCTTGGTGGGGCAGTTCCCGATCGGCCCGGCGCCCTGAGCGGAGATTGCCGAAAGCCGGAGGAAGGGGAGAAGGAACGGAGCTGGGCGTTCTCTGGGCTTTGTCACGCCAAGGGCAGTCCAAGCAGACGAAGTCGGAGTTGACGCGGCAAATCATCAAGGCGTCCCCGGAGAGAGGTGACCTTTAGGTGACTCGCAGATCCAGTGATCCAAAACATGTGGAAGTTGCGGAAGTTCCCCATTCCCCACGGTCCGATGTCGGCCGTGTTTGTTGAGCTGCCATGGCGAGCAGGGCCCGCTTTGCTGGCGGTGAGTCTCGCGAGTCCTCGTTTCAGGAACTTCAAGAAACCCTTGTGTCTGGCCATCACCGTGGCAGTGGTATGCTTTGTGCCAGTTCTGAAAGTTAGGAACTTTGCATGGTTTACCGTGTTTTAAGATTTTAAGGGTTTACGGCTCCAAGGGTGTAGGGTTCAGGGCTTGGCATAGGCCTTGAAAGCTGCCCCCACCCCCCCCTCTTTCACATCCCGGGCCTCTTGCAGTGGCTGTTGGCTCAGATGATGCCACATGCCACATGCAATGTCGAGCTGCAGCCCGTTCAGGGCCCCCACCCCTCTGCAGCTCTTTGCGAAGTCGCTGCAAGAATCGGCGCAAGAAGCAGATGCTACCGAAGAGGCAGGGGCTGGGATTCGACTCAGGGTATGTTACAGGCTTAACCACAACCTCACATGGCATGTGTCTATCGAGAGAGTTTCTTATGAGGAGCACGGTCTGGGTAAGGCAAGGCCAAGACAGATGAAGCAAATCTTGGGGGCGCCGTGCGCCCCTGTTCTAAACGTTGTAACCCTGCTGGCTCTGTGAGCTGTGAGGACGCCCCGATGCTCTTTCCCATGTACACCGTACCATCGGAAGCCTTGCTGCAGATGACAGCAGTCGAGCCCCATGAAGTGCTAAAGGCTTCTTGGCTGATAGGACCTTGGGTATTCTACCCAAATCGTGGTTTCACGTCTATACTACGATAGAGGCTGAAGGTCGTGGTTCCGTGTGCGGTGCGAAAGGACTGAGGGAGTGGAAGATGAAGGTCTTAAGCCACTAGTTGCTGTTCGGTTTCTGTTTTTTGCGAATGTCCATGAAGTTCTCCCGAGGCCAAAGGAGTGCTGGTGAAGTTTGAGGATAGCAAGGGAAAAGCGGCTTTCATCTCGCATCAATGGGTCGGAGGAGATCATCCAGATCCAGAATTCAGGCAGTTCTCTATCCTTCAAGCTGCCTTGAGGCCACAGTCGGGCAAAAGCGGTTTAGGATTTAAGGTTTGCAAGGATTTGGGCCGTTTGGTCGCAGATGCCGCAAACGCGAAGTCTGGTCCTATCTATGTGTTGCTTCAGTTTCCTGACATCTTTTGGATTGGGTCTTTCACCAACGAACCTGTTTCTGCAAGCACATGAACACGCTGCCAGCAAAGACCGAACTTTCTTGCCTGGGTCCAGAAGCTGCGAGTCCGGCTGCAGCAGTACGACCCACCACAAGCATGCGCATGCAGGCCCCGCCCCAAATCCAGCGGATGCCTGTAGAGGCAAAAATGGCCTTGCGACAGCCACGTAGGCTGTACTGAGTTTACATACACTTTTTGGAAGCCAGCCTCAAGTGCGGGTCCTGCCACGTTCAGCTTGGGGTGTACCTGCGACAATGTTGTCGGCCGTTTTTGGCGATTGGAGGCCAAATCAACCCCAAACCTCTGGAGGCCAAAACGGCGAGTGTCCATTTTTGTTGGGCATCTTGTTGTGGGAGTGGACAAGCTTTCGGAGGGCAAAGCTGCCCCAAGAAGTTTGTTTGGAAAAGCCCTCTGTCCCCAAAATGTTAAACTTCTGAAGCCATGAACCCCTTTGCCTTGAAGCTGCGTATTTCTGGCTTTTGAGCCCCGTATTCAAGTGTCAGAGTGCCACATGGTGGACCCTGGGGTCTCAAAGGTTTTCCGGAATTTAGACTCATGGTCGTTTTCTGGCTCGCCCAAAGCTCGACCCGAAGCATATGCAGCATATCTCACTTCGATTATCGCGGGCTGGCTTTCCTCTGACATTCAAGGATTGAAATAGTTTTTCATGTCCAGACAAGCCTGAGGAAGCTCTTGACCACGATGCGGAGCGTTCCCTTGGACTATGTGTCGGAGGGGGTCGTCGCCTTTGCCAAGAGCTTGAAGACAGATGTTTTTAAGTCACGACCTCTGTTCTTTTGGTACGACTACTTCTGCTGTCCGCAGATGGAGCACAGGATTTCGACTTGCCATGCAACGTTGCGAAAGGAGAGTGACCTGCTTCGGGCCATCCAGAGCATTCCGGCCTATGTGAAGAAGTCTGAGTTCTTCTTCGCACTCTGCCCCGTAGTTGAGAGCCCTTCGGAAGGCAAAGTCTTCACACATCGCACGTGGGCGGAAAGGGGGTGGTGTAGGGTTGAGAGAGTCATGCGAGAGATGTCCACGCAGTCATCGTGGATATTGATCCAATCCGAGACCCGGATCCAGCTGCTGGGAACACCTATTTCCTTCCCAGGTGGGCCCGTGGGGGAAGGCAAGTTCACCGTGCCTGAAGACCGCAACAAGCTGGGACCAGTCCTTATGCAAGCCCTAGTTCGCAAGATTCGCTACCTTCTCAGAATGCAAGACTTCGCAAGCTACCGGCTGACCCTCAGCATGCAGCAGCTTTGGATGAGAGGAATTCCTGGGCACACAATGCCGGAGATTGTCCCGGGCTTTGCGGGCCCTAACTCTGCTTTGGGACGCTTCTTCCACGACTATGGCTTCGTGTCTGCGCGGCAGGTGGATCGCGGAGGCTGGGCCCCGTTGCACTATGCGGCCTTGTCAGGTGACGTGGAGGTCCTCCGAGGCTTGCTGGACCATAAGGCGGATATCAACTGCCGTGCGAGGCGTCCTCGCCCGCAGCTGCTGGGAGGAGTTCTTTTCATGTCAGCACTGGACATTGCCATCTTCTCAGGGCAGACGGAGGCGGTGCGGCTGCTGGTCGCCAGAGGGGCCAAGCTTTCCGGCTTGATAGACGCAGTGATCTACTCTGCAATCAGTGGCAAAGCAGAGTGTATCCGTATTCTTCAGGAGCTCCGTCCGGACTACAACGTCAATCCCCGGATGTTCTATGGCGCCGACACGCTCCAAGCTGCTTGTGCTTATGCGACCATGGACGTGGTGGATGAGCTCTTGAAGCAAGAGCGCGTGGCGAATGACAAGGCGGTGTTGTCGAAGGGGCTATGTCTTGCTGCCACGAACTGGGGATGCAGTCCACAGCTTGTGCTGAAACTGGTGGAATATGGAGCAGACGTGAACTTCCAGCTGAGAGCGTCCCATTTTGCACTTTCCTACCAAGTTGTCAGCAAATATTTTGCGCTCCGGTATCGACTAGGTGTTCGTAGCCCCATATCGGTGATGATGTATCACCTTGATGGGCTTACGCCTTTGATGGCCTGCCTGTTCACAGGACAGTACGATGGGGCCGCGGCCTTGCTTGCCTCGGGGGCGCGGCCTGAGCTGCGCAACAGCCGGGGCTGGAATGCTGAGGACGTCATCAAAGGCCAGACAATTCCAGGTTGGCTGAAGAATGGAATGGCAGGGCAACTGTCAGATTGCGAAGATGTCGCCTCTTTAGCTTTGGGGAACGAGGGCTTTGTGGAGACAACATTCTAAAAGGTTCGAAATGGTTCGAATGTCACAGCGGTCAACCACCGGCACACGATCCCAAACGGACGCCTTGGACAGCCTTCCGGCGTGGCCTCTTTTAAATTTTTCAAAGAGACATGTATGGAATTTTTTCGGGTGTGAACGGACACGATTCCTGAAGGGACAGAGTCTTCCTCACGAGCATCCTGGCCCTGCATCCTTGTACTAGCGGCTACTAGCTACTATAGTCTACCAGTTAGCAGGGTTCAGGGGCACAAGTAAGGTTTTGAAAGCATTCACCGCTCGGTGCGTCCCATGAGTTCTGGCAAAGCCGGAAACTGATCCCACCGGGCCTCGAAAATGAGCAAGGGGGGGAGCTCCAGCCCGGCCCTGCCCTTGCCCCTGCAGGTGGAGACTGAGCCGGTAAGGCGAGGATCCCCAGTCCACCTCTCTAGAGGGCCAGTTCCGCGTCGCCGCGTCGCTCTCGGCTCTCCCGAGGCTCATGAACCTCGCGGGCAAGCTCAAGCGCAGCATCGCAGCCGAGCAGGCGACAGCGGCGACGGCGACGACAGGGAGAGCTGTGAGAGACTCGGACTGGAAATGCCATGCAGCGCCGCTTTCGTCAGGGCCGGCTGGAGATGCGGCGGCGCCTGCAAGGCCAAAGCTCGAACACTGGCCGGGGGACCCGGACGCCCTGACGAGCTCTGCGCGAAGACTCCCGTGCCTTAATCGCGTCCCGAGAGGGCCCATGGGCCCAGCTTCCACTCCCCGCCGAGGCTCCTCGAGCGACTTTCACAAGATCGCCCCCTCCAGCGAGGAGCCACTGACGAACCCCTTGACAGGCGCTACCACGGGGTAAAGCTAGCTTGCACTGCGAAGCCAAGAAGCCCCCGCTTGCGCATCTTCCAAGCTCCCCCTTCTGCCGCGGGCTTTGGCGCCAGGCAGTCAGTCGGCTCAGGCGGCCCAGGACGAGACGTTAGCCCGACACCTCGCAGTGCAGGTCAAGAGGCTCAAGGCCTGTCGCTCGTAGCATCCTGGGGTGTTGTCTCAGAGCCTTCAAGCCTTCAGGGTTGAAGCTTTGGGACGTTTAGGCTTCGCTTATTGCCGCTGCTAATACCACGACTACAACAGCAGCGACAGCGCAGGAGATGCGATGACGCGTAATCTTGGCAATCTTGGCAATCTTGCACCACTTTGACCGCTTGCACAACTTGGCTTTCGTTCATTTACCAAGGCTCGGGTACCAATTGCAAACTTGCACCTCTCTACCACTTGCTGCACACCAAGATTACCAAGATTGCCAGGACGACGCGTCATTTCCACCCTGCGCTGCTACTGCTACCACCACTGCTGAAGCTGATACCCTGAACTTGACCCCCTACGTCCCTGTGTCCTGGTCCTATAGTGTCCCTTCCGTGCTTCCCCTTTGCCGGCTTGCAATTGAGATTTTTTTGGTTCCTGAGCCAAACCCCAAGCAGCCCACACCGCAAAAGATCCCCGAGTCCACTTCGGACATGGCAGAGGTGGTGGAGTTTATGAGGACTTTGCTGCGACGGAACCCAGAGGTCCTTGCGAGTTTTTTTTCTCAGCCCTTTGCTCGGTTTGGGATTCAGAGTTTGGAGCCAAGCGTTCAGGGGATACTGGGCAGTTAAGGTCTTTGGGACTGATTTTTTCGAGTTGAATGGCTTGAATGGAGGATGAATCCAGATATGACAATCCAGGTGTTGAAGCCATCATAATCAGCAGAAAGCGTGTCACTGTCCGAATATTGATGCTGTCACTGCGGCCGGAACGACGATGTAGGGGTTGATGAAGACCTTGCAACTCGCCCGGGATGGTACACACACTTTTGTTACTGAGATGAAGTGAGGCGTTGCTTCCTGATGTGGCAAGATTGCTTACTCACTTAGTTTTGGAGTTTTGGCACAGTTTCAGTCACGTAAATCTCACAGCCTGGATATCACCCTCACACGACACCCTGAGAAGCAAGCCGCGCCTGCCCCGCGCTCCCTGAACTTCGAACTTCGCAGGTGCGTTGCTCTGCGAGCGAAGCCCTCCAGGCTGCGGTAGCGAGCTGCAAAGGGTTGTAGAGTTTGAGCAGCGCCTCTTTTGAGAGTCTCTCGGAGTCTCTCTCTCAGTTCGGGCCTCGGGTTCTTGGATGTTCTTGGAATTCTTGGATCTTGCAAACTTGGACACACGTTTTCCTCTCGGCGGCCGAGCCTCTGGGCCTTGGCCTTGGCCGTCACGCGAAGCACGTGATCGACACACGAAGCTGTGCCTTCGAAGACTGTGGTGGCGGCGGCGGCGCTCTGTTCGGAGTTCGGATGTTGCTTCCAGTTTCATGCGGCCTTGCCGACCCAACACTCTGGCAAAACTTAACAGGACCCAACATGTTCGACTTGAGGAGTTTTCTGGCCAACAATCCCGGGCAGCAGGCCAGCAAAGCAAAGCCGTGCGCAAGCGGCTGAAGTCGATTTCACACTGCTCGGCCCCAGACCCGCGGTGGGATGGTGCCCCTTGGGCAGTGGCACCACAAGTGTTGCTAAATTCATGGCACAGTGAAAGGAGGACGCGCACAGTCCCAGGTGCGGGTTCATACCGAGTTGTGGCTGGGATTAAAAAAACCTTTGGATTCTTCCACTTTCGTCGGAAATTGAGGCGAGGAGAGGAAGCAACGGAAGCTTCAGTAGCCTTTGGGTCTCTCTCCCTCTTCAAGTCTATGGGGGCTTGGAGAGCTTTCAATGGAAAGTCTGAAGCTGTGAGATAAGCGGAGGAGGGCCCAGAAGGCCTTTCAAGCAGTTGTTTAGCCAGAGAGAAGTTTGGTGGAGGGACTGCGACATTTTTGGGGTTCCAAAAGAAGTAAGGGCGACGTGGCAATGCCTTGCCACAGGGGGAGGAAGTGCAGCTGTGAATCGTGAAGTGTGTGTCAACCCCCCCCCCCCCTCCTCGGCCCCCCTTCCCCCCCAAGCGGATGCTATCACGGTTTTTTTTTTGTTATCTCCGAGGTGTGGTCCTGAGCTTCAGTTGTCTTCTTACCGAGCTTTGGCCACCGGCCGCTTGTCTTCGGCCACTGGACACAATACATCATAGGAGGCGCTTCTGTATGTCTTGCCATCTACCCGGATGCAAGTGTGGCAACAAGCAGCGGCCGGAAGGTGGAATAACAACAGTTGCTTGACCATGCACGGCTCCCTGCCACTGGCAGCACGGATCTGGGCTACTTGCCAAGCCCATGACTTGTTCTTTCGATGAACGATGGCGGTGTCAGCGATAGCTGCGCCCGTATCCCAATTTTATGGCAGTGTAACAGTGGCACTTGTTACCCCAATCCTATTTGGTGGGAGTCAATCCTGTTTGACATGTAAAGCGGCACTTTAACACCAATCCTGTTTGATTGTAAGGCTGTGTAATCACGCCAACATGATGTGGCAGATGTAACTTAACCCAGACACGACGTGCCGTTCAGCGCGAAGCGGCAGATTTACCGCAACCATGCGTGGTTATGCACCTTGGACACAAATATTCCTGAACCCTATTCTGCCGTTTGAGGCCTGATGCTTTTTCAACAGGGTTCACGCCATTTAGTGCAAGTAGCGTGAACTTTCGGCTGATCAGTCACCAGGGCTCCGTGTAGGTGGCGTGCGTCGGGGGCCAAAGTGGAGAGATAAGGGAGAGGTGGCACTCATCAAGATGATCCAGGAGAGGAGTGACGGATGCCTCCGCCTCTCTACGTTTGTTGGAGGTTAGCCCATCTAGCTTATAGTCATTATAATCGTTTGTTAGGGTTGTTCCCTTCGAGGGTTGCTGTGTCTGACAGCTTTGTTTTTGCTGACTTGTCTGGTGTCTGTCATGTTGGATGTATTGTGTTGGGGGGTGGTTTTCTTCGAGTTTCGTGTTGGGTTGTGGGATGCTTAGCTCTCCTGGGGGAAAGGCGTCCGGCTTGTGGCTCTACGCCTCAGCGCGTTAAACTGTCTTTGGCAGGCCGAGATCTTCATTCAGCAGCAGAGCCAAGAGGTCGGGTTCCCGTGCTGTGGTTCTAGCTGGATTCTGCAGCATGCCGCGTGATGCTGGCGATGCCTTGTGCTCGCAAGATGTTCTGCAGCTTCTTTCCTGGCAAGTCGGCGATGCTTTTCCTCGGATTCGAAGTCGCTCTCCTTCGACCTCTCTTTTTTTGAGTGGCAACGTGGGCTGCGGTGCAGGTGCTGGACGACGACGAGGGCCGCCTGGCTGAGATTTTGCAGTCGGAGTTTCTGTCGGCGATCGGCGCCTCTCAGGCGACCTCCTGGTGGTGAACCGTCGGCCCCTGAAACGCCCCGGCCCTCGAACGGAACGTTTCTCACCGTCGGACGTGGAGTGCGGCATGTTTCCTAAGGTCAGAAAGATGGCGAGAAGGAGGGCGACAAGGAGGCGGACAAAGAGGGCGACAAGGGAGCGGCCGACCTGCAGCAGAATGCCAGCCAAGACCTCAGCAGCGACGGTCAGGGCCTTCGACAAGGCAGACTGCGACGCTGAGCTTTGTTTCGAGAGCTTGATAGCCGTTGAAATGCCAAGGCGAAGGAAGCCCTGTCAACCAACAGCGGAAGTCCGACAAGACCAGCCGGGACTGGCCCAGAGCAGAGGGGGATTTTTTGCGCCGTCCTCTTGGAGAGACTTCCTCACCCCGAACGCCGAACACACAAAAGCCACAACCCCCCCCTAAGCTCCTTGCGGCCTACGAAACCCTCACAATCCCAAACCCACCAAAAGACCCTATAAATCCTTACAAGCAGAAATCCGAAGAAGCAGAGTTTCGATGACAGGATCTCTCGTATCAGCCGGACTCGCCTCGTCTCTGCCTCGGCTTTCCAAACTCCGATGCGACCTCGCTGCCGCGGTTGCTAGTGTGTGTTTTGTCGAGTTTTTTTTTGTCAGGACGTGGTTCACGGGGAGTTTTGATGGATGTGCTCTTTTGTACCCTTTTTTCGTTGATTACGGAGGTGTTCAAACAGGAGTCTGTTGGGTCAACAGCGATGCGAGTATAACCCGTCGTCACGACGATCAGAAAGCAAGAACGGCAACAGCAGCAGCAGCAGCAGCCAGAATGTCGTCGTCACACAGCGCCAAAGAATGCCTGCAACCTGCACCGGCACGTGCGCACTGAGACGTAGACGTAGCCCTTCCGCAGGCCACTCCAAGCCGGAGCCCGGGTCCCCGCCGGCCTCGCAGAGCGCGAGGAAGGAGAAGGCCCGGCCCGGGGGGGGGGGGGGGG